AAAAAGCAATTGCTACTCAGAAGCTTCGTCCTTATGATTCTATTCGTGGGACCCAGTTTGCTTCCTTGAATCTACAGAAGCTCAACACTACAAATCTCAAGCCGGGGATGTGGAGCGTTGTCGTCCAAACCGGTAAGTCAATTCCTATTTTTGTTTCGAAATTATTTTATTTGTGTAGGTTGTGATGTCCCCCTTTTTCATTACTGAAAGCTTCCCCAATTCTATATTTTCGAGTCTATTCTTTCCTTCAACGTCAGAGTTGTTCATCAGGTTTGTTTAGATGCTGAAGGATCTTCGGAAATTCTTGGAAGTGTATGGTTTCCGATTTACTCAACCGAAAATCAAACACTGTTCCGGTCTCTAGTTCGTGATTTCTTCTTAATCAAAGATGGCTGTACCACAGAATGTTCGTCTACTACATGGAGTACTTTTCATCCTGATCCAAAGTCAGACATTTTAGTCGGTTTTGATAAGGAATCTCAAACTCTTGCCTAATTGTTTAACGGTGCGTCTTATTTGAGCCTAGTTTTCACCTCTTTCATAAGCGATAATTGTGATAAAACATAATCGTCCTCGCTCTTTCACTCTTGATGGTTTAATTGTCACTTAAATATCCTAGTATTGTCGAAGAGCGGAAATTCAGAACAGTTTCAATTCCCTACCGTAATCCTTCTTTTACTTCATACCATGCGAGTTATAAATTACTAATAACAATAATAATTTAATTAGTTATTAATTAAATTATAATTTATAGAATAGTCTCTGAGAACCTACGTTACTCTATGACACAACATCGTTCGAGTACTACTTCACCTCGCATCTATATAAACCGTCCTGAGTTACCGCTCCTACGATTTTTCTCAAGCACTCGGCCCGTTTTATCCATGAATGCCTCCATTCTAATAGCTCATTTTATATTTAGCGTGATTTCGTTTCGGTTAAATTTAATAATTCGTCATAATTTCTCATCGTTCCGCCCAGACTCGATGTACTTTTACGGTTCACTCAAAGGTATTTCACTTCAGCGATGTTCTAGGTTGCATCCGGTGTTGCATTTTTATTGTCAGATGTTGAAAATAAATAAATGCTGGAAATGCTACGTTATATTAATTTGTTAAGCGTTGATGTCGTTCAAAGATACATGAATTACGATACTTTGGAATTGAATATTGAATGGAATAGAAGGGTATCGACTGTCAACGCCGGGGTATATCCAGTTTCTTTTTCATGAGTTTTAGCGAAACTTGAACTTAGCACGCATTGGATTTTCAGCGCTGGTTGATAAATCTGTTTCTATCGCCTACGAAAAGAGCGCTGTCACCGTTTTGTAGCCTATTCACACCTTTAATTTGTTTTGTGAGGTGGGAAGGGGAGTTCATGCCCGAATTCTTTTTTTCCCTCGTATATATCTTTTTCGGGCTTTACGACATGGAGCGGAAAGCGTTACGCTTCCTGCTGGGCCAGCTAGTACGCTCAGCTGATCGGGTGATGCGTGGAGATAGAGCTGCTATAAGGGAAGCTGTGTCTCTTGTTGGTTCCGTGAACGAAAATATGGTTGGTGAGTACTCTTGACTTATAAGACTGCACTTCTTGTTTTCCCGTCTGGTAGTGTTTACCTCACGAACTCTAGATAATAATGTCTAGCTTTTTTTTTCTTAATTGTTGACGTATATACTCTAAATTTGTAGTAATTTCTTCTCCAGAAGAAGAAATTTAAGGCTTACGTCGAGCAAACTTGGATTTCCGCTCATGGTGAAGAAGTGCTACATGTGCTTTCGTCATGAAGAGGACTGGTTTACCAAAAAATCTTTTGAAAGTCGTATTTAGCTACTTAACATTGAGGGGACCGCTTCATCTATGCTTTCCTTCTATCTTCATTCTGAATTCAACCAAATGTATTAATTATCATGTGTCACGTTTGGAAAGGCTCAATGTACACATCACAAGTTCCAATTTTCAAACTTCACCCTTCCTCTAAATATCCTCTTAGGTAATAGGAAATTTTTTTGTCGAGATAATTGAAGATTAGTAAATGAAGTAGGGGTGCTGCAAGTGTGCTGGAAAGAGCGTTTGATGAATTTTTATGTAAATACTTGATTTTGAGAGCTAGAATCGCACCACTTGGAGAAATAACTGATCAAGTCATATCCTTAATACTAGATAAATGAGAACACGTATTTTATGGGTGCACTTCCAGGTGAACTTCCTCCAGTCGACTTATGCGCAGCTCAAATATCCCCTGTTCTGTATGGGCTTTTGTATGAATGTCCCAACCTGCACTGCTCTGTTTTCGGGTTCAGTCGTTCTGGCGAAAAGATTCCACTACACGATCACCCCACTATGCACGGATTCATCACCGTCTTGAGAGGATCACTGATGGTCAGGCTTTACAATATATGGCTTTGTGTACATTTCGAGAGTACTTTTTGATATGCTATTCACGATTTTTTTCATTTGTGGAAAGAGAATTCGACCCGCTCTACTCATTTGTTTTGATTTGTACAATTCCAAGTTCTTCTGAAAATGGGTTCCACCTTTTATCTTTTCTTCCTTAAGCATCGCCTGTATATATGGTTTAAGAGTTCAATTCCATACAGGTGAAGTCGTTCTCTTTTCTCGATGCCACCGGAAAACACTGGTCTGGTCAAACCAAGGTGCGATTCGAAGGAGAGCGAACTGTCAAACAAGGAGATGGATGCGTCAATTTGAGCCCTGTGAAAGGTCATAATAATTACTTTTTCTTCTGCGCTTTTTATTCTTTCAGTTCAGACGGGGCAGCTTCGGGTATCCCCTCCTGAGTGATCTCTGTCATAAGCATTGCGCGGACATATTTAGAAATCTGTTCAATCCAGCTCAAAACTGTACTTCTCTGAAAGCGCTTTGCGAAGCCCCTGCTACAGCCGTTTCTCCAAATTCCTCCTTCAGGAAACATTCATGAAATTACCGCATTGGAGGATGGGTCTTTCTTTTTCGATATCTTGGTACCAGGATATGGAGACTCAATTCCTTGCAATTATTTTGAGGCGCCCGAGGTATGTCTTATCGCCTTCCACCTTCCTCTTATAAACTACAAGATTTCCTTCCAGAGTCTGCCTTTGGTCGGTCGAGAATGCTCCCTAAAAGAAATTCCATGCCCCTCCAGTTACTTTTGTTACACCGTCCCTTTGGAAAGGGTGGAGCTTTAAGTTTGTTATAAGTTATTTGTTGCAACTTATGGTGACATTTCCTCTTTTCATGTTCCTAGTATCCCCCACCAGTTTTTGGTTGTACTCAAATGATCAGCTAATTATACTGGTACTGCTCTCGAATTCTATTTTGTTATGTTGTAAGGGTATGACTTTAAAAGAAAATAGATCGTTTTAATTTTCTTCCGTGCAATGTCTTACTTGCTTATTAAAATTAATCAGTGATTCGAGACGAGCTTGTGATTGTTTTGAACAAATGAAAGTCATCATTGGCATTCTGAACTAAATCAAACAGTTATAGCTGTATTTATCTTCGCGAACTTTCGATCTCACTGTATAGAGACGAATTTTACGAATATTTTCAGAAGAATGAAACCGGATAGCGGATGGTATGTCAATGAAGCTCTTTTAGCTGAACTCCTCGAAGAAGTGCCAACTGACTTGAAGAAACTAGAGAAGAAGCTCTGTGATGTAAGGTGTTTATTCATCAAATTTGTGCGATGCAATATTCTTTGAAGAAGCGTTTTTCACTAGTAATTTCATTTTGATTAGTGATGCTCGTTTGTTATCTTTGGGTTAACTTGCTAGAAATTTGAAAAGTTTTCTGAGGAGATCTGGCTAACAAGTCATAGACGGATCGGCAAAACAACCACCTGCCATAAATCCCTGTAAATAGACGTTTTCAGCGGGGCAAAGGAGCAACTCAGGAAGTGATGCTTGGATATGTTGTTTGATAGACTTACTCAACTCTTTCTTATAACCTATTTGGCAGCTTTTGCAAGAGATCTATTTAGTGGTTCATCCTATGCTTTATGAAACTCAATTCTTAGATTGATATTCGCGAATATGGTGATCCTTGTCTATCGAACTGTATGAACAAAGAAGTTCTGAATGGCCCAGTAGTGCTTCAGCTAATTAGATTCAGGTGTCTTCTTTTTCATAGCAATTTCGATTATATAGCAGAGCTGATTATTATTGGTGAATCTGTAGAACTTTGTACGGATAGAGATATTTCAGGAACGTATCGCAACCAAAAGTGAAGGAAGACGTAAGAAGCAGTAGCGATGTAGCCCGATTATCTCTAACTGATGGTCACACTTCTACCTCTGCCCTTCTCCTGGAAAATATTAAAGGTCTGAAGTGAGTCTGCTTAAATCTGCATTGTTTCTTATAAATTCTTGCTGAAGGGTGATTTCTGTTGAGTTCAGCTCCGATACCCCACCTGGCACTAAGCTATTGATAACTGGAACAGCGCCTGTGGAAAATGGTTTTGTGATTTTGGCCCCACGTAATGTTGCGGTTATTGGAGGACGTGTAGAAAAACTTATCGAAAAATGGACGATAGAAAGAGTGAGCTGTTCAGAATGTTGGGACTTTTTATTTTTGTAGTTTCTTTTATATGAGGATATAGGCACAGCCTTCATTTTCTGACGTCAAACACTGCTCTTGTGTTCTCATGCTTTTGCATTGCTCTCATTGTCAGATTTTGTTGCTTTAGACGTCCAATGGCCTTTAAGTGAAGTATTTTTAGCACTCGCTAGGAGAATCTCAGCGAAATACGCGTTCAGATTGCAAAGCGCCAAAATGGATCTCTTTCGGAAAGGTACCTTTCTAATCGTTGACATTGGCCCATTGGCATTTCCTACTGGCACCGCGATTTCTTGTAGCGTGGAACAGCGACTTTTGATTCGTCTACGAAGAATTTCAAGGCAAACGCCGCAATTGAATCGTCAACTAAGAAGGCTGGTTTTTTCATGGTTTTGACGTTAGGGAGGACAGAACAGATTAGATTTCTGGGCTCCTTTTCAACTTTTACATCTGACTGAAAACAAAATTATTACTTCCTTCAGGATTCCGATGAAAAAGACAATTTTGAAGCACAACGTAAAGAGATAATAGATGCTGTTGAAGAAGGTAGTACCAAGGTGTTCGCTGTTCCAAAGGTGAGACATTTATTCGTTTTTGCTTGATAGTCTACTCCACCCACGAATTGTTTTCCATCAGTGTCTCCTCTTGCCATTCTTTCTTGGATTTTGACACAGTCGTTGCATTCCTGATCAGCCTGAGGATATGATAACCGATGAAACGTCTCTTGACTATTATTCTGATAGAGGTCAAATATGATGTTAAAAATCTCCAGATTCAACCTCCACCAAGACCGGCCGAGCCAAATGTCACACGACCCGTAAAAGCACCTGTTCTCAAGGAACGAGGTCACGATCGTCGTTCCAAGAAAGGTAGACGAAGAGGTGGAGACAGCGATGACGAAGAGGTAGTTGTTCTATATGACCCGTGTAGTTTAACAGTGTGTAAAATTGTAGAACTTCTTTATCAGTGCTACCGCTGAAGCTCGAGCTGTTCAGGTGCCTGCCGAATTCGCTCGCCCTTCTAAACCATCCACTCTCTTCGATTTTATGGCCAGTAATGTCGTTCCTGACGCCGATACTAGCCGTACAGCGGTTCGTTACTTTCTTACTTCGAATTCATTTTCAATGTTTTTTTCCTTTCTTACATGAATATCTCACTGGCAGAAGTTAGGTGCAACACGTAGATTGAAAAGGATGTAGTTCTACAGAACTTCAGCATGATTTACATTTTGGTAATTGACAACGATTGCCGTTGACCACGTTTTCGGTTGTTGATCTTGCGACAGCTTCGCTTTTAGCATTCATATTGACGAAATCATAGTTCTTCATTGCTATCCCTTTCATTTTTTGAGGACAGGCTGTTATTCTGTGCTGCGTCGGTCCTGGCTATGTGACTATACTGTTCTTTCAGCCTCGTACTTCGAATAACAACCCAGTAAAACAACCTCGAGAAAGCGGATATCCCTCAAGACAGCAAGTTAATCCCTCCTCAGATGCCAGGAAGAAAGGTCGAATTCAAGTTTCATGTAGTGAGATTACTTTAATGAGAGGTCTTTCCAGGGGATTCGAATTACAAAAGGGATTCCAAACCAGAAAGGGAGCAACGGAGGCTGCCTCCGCAGTCCGCTTCTTATGGAACGAATCGCGACCGTAACGAGAAGTCCCGTAACGCTAATGCAACCAACCGGGAAAATTACATGGAAAATAACCGACCGCAGCAGCGCGTCCAGAAATCTCAACAGCGACCCGTCACTTCACCGCAGTATACGGCTCGAAGTGAAAACTATTTGCAGAAGACGAATGGCCTCACTAACAATCGTAATGAGTAAGTACATGAATCCAGTTTTGTTGTTTCCTTTCTCCTCTCCCAATAAGTATGTTACCTATATAAGAATATGTATTCTAGATATCCTCCATCTGCTTCATCTGCCGGTAGAAGCCAAGGAAGTCGACGTGATTTCAATTCGTCTTCACAGTACCCGAGGGAACTGCTGGTTAACGGTAAGGATTCTGGTATCCTCATCCATACATTTATTTCGCTAGTTTTTTCTATTACCAGATTTTTCACATATGCACCTTGATGGCGGTCCTCGGCGTTTTGAGTCGAAGAAACCATTCCCTTCTAAAAACAATCCTTCTCTCAATCCACAGTTTACTGCACCGGCATGGAAAGTGGGCGATCATTGTAGAGCGCCTTGGAATGACGGGATGGTAAGGTGGTTCATATCGTTTTCTTTTCTCACAGAGCCTCATTGTAGCTAGCCATTATTTTAGTATTATTCGGCAACAATCGTGAACCTCGGACCAGCCGACATGTGCGCTGTCCGCTATGATGATTACGGGAATATTGGCACAGTTCCTCAGGCAGTTCTGTTATTAGTCTAATTATGTGAATAGAGATTTCGCCAAGCCTCAGTTGAGAGCTCATCAGGGTGTGGGATTTTCCAGTGTGTTTTCCAGCCTCATAGGACATGGTATGGTTTCGTGATTATTCTGTAACTGCCTCTACTTTATTGCCATTTTCAGTTTTATTTCTCAATTTGTAACTGATCGGCATTACCTGTACAGTCGACTTTGTGACTTCACCAAGTATTTTGCGAGATTTTATAAAAGATTCGTTATTCGCGTAACTATTGACTCTGGCTGTTTATGATCAGGCTTTACCAGATTGTGTTTATTTACATATAACTGTTATGACATTTGGTTTTTAGATATAGACTAATCTTGACCTCATCGCTTTTTTGTTGCCTTTTGTTACGATATAGAGGTTAAATTAGCGGAAGTACCAGAAAGAAATTGATTTACTTCGAGCCTTCTTGGTGCTGGCTTGTTGATGTCGAAGATTGCTGGGGCCACTGCACGTGTTGTCAAGGGAATCGCTAGGGTAAAACCGACTCGGTGAGTAGTTTAAGCTTGATTGTTGATGAACTCCTTATGTTAGTTATCAGGTTGTCGTTAGAGTGATGTGATCATGAATCATTTAGAGCTGCTCTCACTCTAACACCCGAAGCAGTGCAACGAGTACGGTATCTTCTCGACTTAGAAAAGGAAGCAAAAGCCTTGAAGGTAATACTCTCAGTTTAGCTAAGTTGATAAATACTTATCTTGTGGTTCAGATGAGAAGGGAGTTTGAATCTGAATAGGGCTGTGGTACAGATCAGGCGTCTTCCTAGGGTATGAGTTATTATTGCAGATCGGCGTTCGGCACAGAGGTTGTAACGGACTTTCCTATACGCTGGACTACGCAAAGGAAAAGGCCAAATTCGACGAAGAAGTTGAGCAGGTAATACTGTTACATATTTCTATTTAGAGCAGAAATCAAGGAGAGCCAGCACAAGATCTCATGGTGTGGTCTGGTAATGATATTGGACCATTACCCGGCCAGGTCTATTAGCCCTCTAGGTGTAGCCGGCCGAGAAAGTTCCCCTCTACTCCTTGTACTTCTATTTAGTGAGCTCGTATTACATTTTTAGGATGGTGTTCGAATATGGATTGAACCGAAAGCTCAACTTGGACTGTTAGGAACGGAAATGGACTACGTGACTGATAGGATAAGCTCAGAATTTGTATTCAGAAATCCAAATATTAAAGGCACCTGTGGATGTGGAGAGTCGTTCAGTCTGTGATTGTCTGACCCGAACTGTTTTGCTCAGTTGATCTGTTCGCATTTGGCATAGGTAGAATGGATAGATATGCTGTAAGCTAGTTTTAACGTTTACTGGTACATCGGATGCAATCATGTGGTTGGATTGTCGCTTGTCTGTGTCTCTCTTTAGAACACCATGCCTCCTTGACACCTCATTAATTGTGGTCTTACGCTACATAGGTTATTACTACTCGGTATGGCGCGCAAGTCGTAAGCGCCTTTGTATAATTCGAAATAGTCTGTTGTCCTATAGTTGCATAAATATCATATGAGTAAAGATTTATTGTCGTGTAGAATTACTGTGCTACAGACGCTTTAATCGTGATTTGCCTTTACTTACTTTTTCCAATATGATTATACTCCGCTGTTATGCTAAAATATGGTCCTTCATCTAGAAATGGCTCCTAGTGACGCATCGAAAAGAAATGTGAAGAAGGCGTCCAAAATGTCCAATCCTGTCGAAAAGCTCCAATGTCTGCCCGCTCATGAAGACAGGAAGACTATTGATGGGTAAGATTCAACAACTTTAGTTCGGTAAGAACGTAGGCCTGAGACCTAAGAACATGTGCAGAGCATGTTATCTTCAGTTCCTATTTTGGATAATCGCTAAAAATTATCCATTCCTTTTCGATTTTCGAAAAGAAAGTTGTTCCCAGACATACAAGCAGATTCTTTTTGATATGACTTTTTGTAGATCGGTAGTGTACCATTCAAAGTTTTTTGTACTTTGATTCAGCTTATCTCTGTTCTTCTCCTTTGAAGCCAATTGTGGGTTGTTCTCCGAGGATTAAACTACCTTCATTCGGCTGTAGCAGCTGTAGGTCTTTCGTACTTTTATAGCAGAACGGAAGAGGTCCATTAAAAAAAGCGACTGTCTGAACTCCTCCCCCCCGCCCCTCCTGCTACACACCCATTTTTTTCAAGCAAGGGCTTGAAAGCGCTTAAAGTCGGGGATGTATTTTAGTGCTCTTTGCGTAATCTGAGGATTCTCGGAGTCGCCACTAATAATATTCGCAAAGCTGTAATTATCTTAAAGACGTATATTCAAACGATCTTGAGACGCAGTCTCAAACTCTTCTCTTGTTTCAGAGAAAAGTTCTACATCAAGAATGAGCTAATTGTGAGTATTCCAGAGAGTTGATAGCATTCGAAACGTACTGGGCAACGCATCTTTCTGATGAGCAATCGGCATGGGTTTTCGATTTGTTCAAGCAAAATATGTTTCAACTGTAAGTTTTCATGTCCGGCCTCAACTGTAAAAGGAGGAAATCAATATGCTTCAAATCGATTAATATACTGGTTCATATGCTGTTAGAGCAATCACGAAATTTTCAGCTATTCAATGTCACAGTGGGGGTGGGATCCAGATTCGAAAAAGGCAGAACTTGGTGCAACTACTGCCAGGTTTGTCATTAAATAGCTATAAGCAATGTATTCATATGTAGCTATTCTTTTAGGTTTATCATAGCTAAAAATGAGCAAGGAGAACCCATAGGCTATACGCATTACCGTTTCGATATGGATCATAATAGCTCCGTTCTCTATTGGTCAGTTCCTTAGTTCCAAGTTCGTTTCAAAGGTTCCAAGTAAGTGAGTAATAATACAATCCACTAGGTCTTGTAGAAATGCGCTTCCATTGCATTTCAGGTTAGAAATAGAGCTCTGAGTCAGTTAGCTTTAATACGAGTAGCTTCATGTGTTGCAAGCTAGGAATCCGTTATATACTTGTGAAAATAAACGAAAAGGTGCTCGATTAGTTGCGATAGGTGTTTTATCTCTTCTTATGTGCTCATCAGCTGTTTATTATATCTTACTACACACTATTTATTTATTTATTTGTTTATTTACTATTGAGATCTTTTTCTCTTTTTTTGCAGCTACGAAATCCAGGTGGAGGAAAGATATCAGAAGAAAGGCGTTGGAACGTTATTGATCCAAACTCTTGAGACGTTAGCTGAAAAGTTTGTTGTTTACCTGTTTGTTGTTTTTGTTGAGCAAGCAGTTGAGTTTTTCAATTTGATATTTTAGGACTGGTATGGAGAAAGTGATGGCTACTGTTTTTGCTTTCAACGAGAAATCATTAGGATTTTTCCATAAATTAGGTTATGAAACGGATATTTCATGTCCCGATGAAAATCAGGGTCGTGATTACCTCATCCTTAGTAAAGCGGTTATTTGAACACGGGTTTTCAATTTCATATTGTATCAGCTGACTTCACTCACTGTTACATTTTGACCAAATTCTACCGTCAACTCTGTCCTTACAGTTGTTATAACATCCTCATTCTTTTATATCCCTCAACTGCAGAGATAGTAAGTATAGCCCCAAATACGGTATCGATTTGGATGGCTTTTACATCGCTACGCGGCTGTATTTTCATATAATACGTACTGCTGACGCAAAACTGTATGTGATGGTCATTCTGACTGGTGCTACCCAGAAAACACTCAGTTATATTGTGTGTGTGATGAATGTCAATAGATTCCAAATGTGACCTGTAGAAGCTTCGTCTACCTCTAGATTGAAACTGTCCGCTGTTTGTATCGCCTGGCTGCCTCCTACTTTGATTTCCTCAATATTTTCTTTCACTCAGATCTTGAATTCGTGACCCGGTAGTTCTTTTCTCTTCTCTGCTCTTTTATGTTTGTTGGATGTATGTACGTTTCTTCAACGGTTATCCAACGTTATCAGGTGTGTAGGAATAAAGCATTCAGCTTTGATGTTCATAATGTATAAACTATAGCACCGAGGTCTTACAGGAACGAAAATTCAGTCCAGCACTCGGCTCTTACAGTAGTCCGGCACGTGTTAACACGCATGTTTTTACCCGTCACATATACGACGCGTCGAAAAGGGGCTTTGGGCAAGGACACGGGAGTGGATGGTGAGGTAAGCCAGGGGGTTCCTGTAAGAGCCGAGTGCCGGACTGAATTTTCGTTTTAGTCCGGGGTCTTACTCGAGTATTGTGAGGCTTAGATACTTCTCACTTTTCAGAAAGATGATATATCGTTGTGCATTCAACATAATAGCATAAGAATACTTGAAATGACTTTAGCGTACGTATTTAGCACATGGTTATCACAAAATTAGGGTATAGGTCAGGACGGATCGCAGGCACGCACGCCGTTGTGGTTTTGTCGGGTTTTTGTCATCATTCATCGGGGATCAAATCTAACTCTCACAAAGGGGAAGGCGCGGCGTGGGCGAAACGCCGTTCGATTAGAAAAACCTCACGTAGTCGAGAACTGCCATATAGGCTTCCTAGTCTAGATTGAAGGCACAATTCACGATCAAAATGGTTTCTACGATTTCGTCCGAGAATTACCTAGCGGCTCCCAAGGGGTAACACAAAGGACGCTGTCGGGACGAAAAGGATTCTCATCCATGTTGATCGACCGATGATGTTTCAGACGAGTGTGAAGCGATACAGATTGCACTATTCGCGCCAGGACTCACACGTTCAGCAAGCAATCAGCTGATCACCGGCTGGTAAGGTAATGTTTTACCCTTATTCTGTTATTCTCTTCTATTCTTTTTGCTGCTGCGATCATTGTTCTAGTTGTCTGATGAAAAAGGTGGGTTATTTTTGCTGTTAAAGGCACCGTTCACATAATTTCCGGTAATCCAGATTATGGTGAAAAATGGAAGACAAGTTCGAAACTAGTGCGACTGAGGTGAAGAAACTGCGTGCATCGGTGTTTCCAAAGTGAAAAAAGGCTTCGAAAAAACGTTAAAAAGGGGGCTGGACGTGAATGAAACCAGAAAAATGAAGAAGGGTGGGGCGTCCGGACGAGCTAAATAGTGTGTTTCACTGCGCGCGTGTGGGTCCTGGTGCGAAGAGCAGACAANNATTCGCGCCAGGACTCACACGTTCAGCAAGCAATCAGCTGATCACCGGCTGGTAAGGTAATGTTTTACCCTTGTTCTGTTATTCTCTTCTATTCTTTTTGCTGCTGCGATCATTGTTCTAGTTGTCTGATGAAAAAGGTGGGTTATTTTTGCTGTTAAAGGCACCGTTCACATAATTTCCGGTAATCCAGATTATGATGAAAAATGGAAGACAAGATCGAAACTAGTGCGACTGAGGTGAAGAAACTGCGTGCATCGGTGTTTCCAAAGTGAAAAAAGGCTTCGAAAAAACGTTAAAAAGGGGGCTGGACGTGAATGAAACCAGAAAAATGAAGAAGGGTGGGGCGTCCGGACGAGCTAAATAGTGTGTTTCACTGCGCGCGTGTGGGTCCTGGTGCGAAGAGCAGACAATGGTAAGCAAAAATTCACTCACTTATAAGCATAAATAAACAAAAAAACCTTATTAACCAAAAGTAGCTCACCTTGTTCAGCCTCTAGGAGTAGGAAATTGAATAAGGGATCGAAGCAGCAAAAAGAAAAACAGAGGAAAAAAGAATGGGAGGAAAACATCGCCTCATCACTCGGCGATTAGCTGATTGTGCGTGGGTCCTATAACGAATAATAGCAATCTGTATTGTCTCGACACTCGTCTAACGTGACGCCGATCGAGGGGCGGGCACGCAAACTACGGCAACAACGGAGCTGCCACTATACCCTGGACGTCGAGATTGGGGGGGTGAGAGGGTCCCTTCTTCAACCCATGGGGGTCGCTGAGTATTGGTAAGGTAAGAACTCAATAACTTTTTTATCGTGAACGGTGCCTTTAATAGTGTCTTTATTAATTTGTGCTAGTGAGTGAATTAGTTTTAAAAAACATGTTTGCTCCTGAAGTCAGCTATTTGCCTAGGACCCACGCGTACGCAATGGCACGCATTGTATAGCTCGTACAAACGCCCCTTCTAAGTCATTTTTCTGGCCTTATTCTCGGTCATTGGCTGCTTTCAGAGTCCGCGCCGGCCGACGGGGGCGCTGCCCTTGTTGACAACATTGAATGTTAATCGATGCCGCAGTCCGGCAATGCTTAATTTCTCGGTATCGGAAGTAGCGATGACAAGTATACGTCAAACACATCACAATCAATATTTATTAAAAAGTGAGTACCCCAATAGAAAATCACACGGCATCCTAGAATGCGTACAAAGATTTAATGTCTAATGCGATTATATATTGTGGCTAATTTGTATTTTCCAATGTTCAATTTTAGAATTCTCTGACGATTCTGCGATAAGACTTCCTGAATGATTCAAGTGCCGGCTCAAGGCTTCGTGGCAAGCACCCTGTTTTCTGGAAGAAGTTCAACAGGACTACATGTACGAAGAGATACTGCTGTATATTCTGAAATAGAGATTGCATTAGGTGACTTGGCAGCTTTTTGAGGACTTCTGCTAGTGATCGACCGATGAAGTCACGCCGATCAAACGCAGACGGCTCTCATATGTAGTACATGTTGATTCCGATATGTAGTACATGCTGATTCCGATCTCCAGGGACACTACGAGATCGGCAACGTCCTATGTCAGGCATATTTTAACACCGGTTCTAGAAGGAAAGGTGAGAGAAGTTCAGTAAACTGTCACGTGTTGCCTGTTTTGGGGCTCGAGTACGGACCCCCTTTTCAAAACGACATTAATGTGCGGCTCTGCTGAATCCATTGACAATCATCCACCTTCAAATTCTTCCGTAGTTGATTCGAGAGCAGTGAGTTTATTAGAGTACCGGTTGTCTTACCGCCCCTATCAATATGTGACGTCTCTTAATTTGCTGTTCACATCCATTTTATAAACAGTGTCGAAACGTTTCCAAGAATAATTGGAGCTTCCATCTTGGCTGCTGCTTCTCCAGCTAACATCGAATTTATGACAGACAAACAGGCATAGAGATAAAAACAGACGAGCGCTCTACTCATAGTAATGATGTTCATTATGCCGGCGAGGCTGTCACAAAAGGAACGGGAGAGACCCAGAGGTTACCGTTGCGCACGTGAACAATTGGTGAGTTGTTAAAGAAAAGCATGACTTGCCCAGTACTTGAATCTTGGACACTACTGTACTAGAACCGTCCCTCACCTGAACACTATTACTCCGCTGAGTCCTGACTTTCTCGAGATAAATATTCATCATACGAAGGACATCACCCCTTCCGAGTACGTCCATCGCATATTGAAGCAATACCATTGAGCCACTTCTTCCTATACCTGCTGAGCAGTGTATGACGATGGGTGTTCTGAAACAGGAGAACACTTGGCGATAAATATGACTCCCTAATGAGCTCTTTAACCAACCTTATTTGTTCAAGCACATAAAGGAGGTAAAGCGGTGCCATATCCGCTTGTGGGACTCCTTGATCGGGCCAATCAACCCAGTGATAATGAGTGCATGAACGAAGTGGAAAATCGGGGAGAGAGACATCCAGTGTAGTAACTTCCACTATTGCGTTTGTTTCAAACGGGAATTTAAGCTGGAAAAAGTCGATAGCCCATGAAACTGTTCGCTCAAAATCAGGATTTGATTGTGGTTCAGCAGAAAGATACTTCTGCTCCATGCTTCTCACTCATCTGCATGTCGACTTAGTTGCTTGCATTTCTCAACCCGGTTCACGCACGTTCTTAACTGGGACAAGGATCCTTTGTTTCGTGAAAATGGATATTCTACACTTATTTGTTTCTTCATTCAGATCCCAACGGAACATCTCCCCTGTTCCAGTCATTTCAAGGAAGAAAAAAACTGCACAAAAGTAACGGTGTGGGTACCAGTGGCGAACAGTTCAAAACAGAAACATCTTGACCAATGATGTACGGGTATTCCACGAAGAACCCCACCACATCACTATCTCAAAACAGAGATTGTTCACTGTCAGGCGGTGATGGCTGGATATGAGAGCATGAAGCTTCTTGAGTTTGATCAATCCTTTTTCGAACTAGACCCTAACATTTGCTTTTATCTTGAAACTAATGGTCTTCTATAAAACGGTGCTCTATACAATGACTTGCGGTGGCCAGCCAATGTTCAATTCAGTAGTTTATGTTACTGGCGAGTCTGGAACCACTCAACATAGCCAGGAGAGATGGAAGGCCTGGTTGGCGTAGGCGATATATAGGAATAGTTGTAAGAGTGTGTAATAGCGCGCCACTGAGAACTGCAACATCTGCGGCGAGATTGGACCAGAAGCAGGAATAGGAGTAGGGGACTAGCCGGGAAGGAGTAGTTTACTTACCATAGAACTTTGAAGGAGGACCCAGACAAATGGTTAGAGTTTTGATGCTGTTTACGAATATGGATATCATAACTGCAAATGGCTTCCGTAAAAGTTTATTTTTCTGCCGGTGCTACGGCAATGATTTAACCATTGGACGTCTTCTTCGGTCATGTGAAGAACGTTCTGGAGAAGATCAGAAAAAAAGCTGTCATGAACACCGCGGGATTGAATACGACACAGAGAGATATTTATACTCAAGCTTTAATCACAAGTATATCGCATGTTTTGTGCACTCCGTTTTTCAAATTCGTTGAAACACCCTTGTTACAGGGCTTGGTATGTTGGTGAAATCCAGACTCGTGTACCACGTCTGGCAAGTATTTGTTCAATCTTAAAACAAATGACTGCTTTGTCTCCGGTTGTATAGGAGTAGCATGTACATTGTGCAATTTGTGGACAACATGTGTGCTTCACTCACGTTTTCTTGTTCCCCACGTTTTCATATTCTTGATGGAAAACAAGAAAACGGGCAGGCATCTTATACATTTCTGGCAGCATTTTGTTAAATGTTTCTTGAAGTTTAAAATGTCGTAAAATCGAAAATGTGCACGACCATTCTATCTTGAGCAGGTGCGACAAGCGCGTATGATAGGAGGAATAAGGCGTACACCTGGATCAATGTCAAAAATGTTTGGAAATCCCCTATGAAAAGAAAGAGCGCTGGGCGAAATACTCGATAGTGGCAGTAAGAAAGGCCACGCCTTCTTCCTGTGAAGCTAGAGCTCTAATACGGCGGCACGTCGCCGCTTGACATTGAAGCGACTGGTTCGCATTTTCTCTCGACTCCATTGTAAAGCGAATTTTGAGCCCTACAACTTTTTAAGAAAAGTTTTGATTTAATTTGTTTGAGTTTGGATTTCTTTCCCGATTTCTGCGGTTTTGATTTCCATATCCATAAACAGCATTCAATACTCTATCGATTTATCTAGGTCTTCATTCAGTTCAATGATAAGTGAACTACTCCTCCTTGGTTGTTAAATAACTACAGGATGGCAGGCAGAATATTTTAAGTTTAGTTATTAAAGCGATTGGAGGTTGACTATTTGTTACCAGCGAATGACAACTTATTCTGTGCTCATTCTTTATTCTTGGTTCATTATTCTTTTAACAAAACGTTATCTCACCCGTTCCTTGCATTTCAGAGAAACAATGATACCTCCTTCAAACATCATTGATTCATTGGTATTCAATGGGTAGTATCTCGCGCACTTTATGTGACCCTAAGTGTAAACGGTTACAATTCTTCTGAGTTACTATGCATCTTGTTTCATGAGGTCATTCGGAATGCAACATGCGATAGTTTAGATTTTTCAATAATGTTCCGGAAGCTTCCTTAGAATTGCTGTATGAAACTTGCGCTCGCATGTACATAGAAATCCGAGAGTCTCTTTCCCTTATCTATAAATAAGCCTATGAATTAACGATCCATCTCATCATATTTGACACCTTACGGTTCGAATCCAGCTTTTCCGTGCTCAAGCTAATGAGAACGTAAGTCAAGTCTTTGGCCTTGGAGCCCTTCTCCCCTTCCCAACGTTTAATAGATGGAAGCAGGAATGATGAAGCTAAACATCGATGTTGTCAACCGACTGCGATATCATGGAATCTCCGGATATGGTTTGCGCATACCAGTGAGTGTAACCATTTTATGGTGTTTTAAGGAAGCTCCCGAATATTTCACAAGAAACCGGAGCTTCTGTGAAGTTCTCAACACGCTAATATTCGTCATTCTGCATTGAAAACTGATCTTCTTTTGTTACGATCAAAATCGATTTTGGTAACTAACCGCTTCTATAAAATTACATAACATCAGAATAACTTCGACATCCTCTTGTACAACCATAAACCAAAAATCTGCACATGTTTGCGGCAAGGGGCCCTGCAAGTAAGTAGAGCGTCTACAAAAATATTGATGACTTTGGCTCTACGAGCGAGAAGGCGACTTCGGCTCATAAAATGCAAAAGAGCAAAAACGGTCGTCGAGGACGAGCACCCGACTCTTACAATGGTCTGGCTGTAGGTTCTTGTGAATGCGTGGCTATATGCAGCATCATCACTGAGTGCTATGGCCTGTCCCGTTGGACAAGACAGAGATGGCGTAATTTTGCGATACAGTAATCACACAGTGGAACGAAAAAGCCAGACAAAAACCATTTACATATACGAACTACACAATTGTGTTGTGTCAGAAGTTGCCAGTCAGGAGCCAAAAGCTCATTTGAAACCAGAATGGGTTTCTTCGCCCAAATTTTTTTAGGCACTCGAGACATTCCAAGGCTTGCTTATCCCCACCACAACGACGGTAGAATTAAAGCCCCCTTGGAAGAACTCCCACAAAAGCTTTTAGGAAAAGGTTTAGGACATGGCATGACCTGCGTAGACGTGGTGGTAGAGATCCCTTCTTGTGAGCTTCAGGCAAAACAGGACGAGTTTTTCTTATATTCCGCGCCATTCGATATGCCGTCACTATTTACAAAGTGTTGTTTTACAGGACTTGATCTTATTTGCGTTTTCGATTTTCGCATTGTCCGCAAAAAGTGGTACATTGGTAAGTCAACGTTTATCTCGCTACTATAGTCATGTAAGATTTGGTTGCTCAACTTTTTTATCTGGTATCTGTATAGAGTTGTTTATATCACCTGCGTGCATATAAATCTTCTTGGATTACTTGGAGACGATACGTAGTTGGCATGTATGTATGAACTCGTTCCTAAGGTGAGTTTTACTCGACTTTCGTCAAAACAGCCGATGTCCTAAAAAGTTTTATTTTTATGGTTGGCAGATTAGTAAGTACCAACTCGATTATCGAAATTCCAGCCAACACTACTAATCTCTATGAAGAGTTTCATGAATATAATAGAAATTGTCTTCAGTTGTTCTGGGCAGACAAGTGCCCAAAAGAAATAAGTGAATGTGCTCCTTACTCTGTAACGATTCTTTCCACGATTGTTCGGAAGGAGAAACTCGTTCATTTTAGTCAAGTCCTCATACATGGGAATTTTTTTGAACTCTGCCACAAGACCTTTTGGTCCGTTCCTTAAAGCGTTTTCAACAAAATCCTTTATCTGAAATGCTCTGCCTCAGAATAATATTCAGGAATCACGACATCGAGTCAAGTATGTGGTTTATCTGCCAGAACTTGTGGTAGTCGACCAAAGTAACCCGGAGTTCTCATCCACGAAGACGGGTTTGGCACATCTCAACCAATGCTGTGGGGATGGACCTGATTGGTCCAACTGTAAGTAGGTATCGACTCAGGATTCGTCGATTATTTACTTCAAGATGAGAAAACACAGAAACTGTAGCAGTGCAATCGCCAAAGCATATGATATAATTGCACAAAAAATTAAGATGTAAGACATGAATTCGCTGGATTCGCAAATGTGAGAGCTAATTAAAAAATGCATCGGTGGGGCGGGTAGCCCAGTGGCAAAGGAGGGAGCGTGATCTATGTCGGGGAATTACGCCACCTCGCCTCAATAGTGATCTGCCCTATAGCATGCGAAGATGGGCGAAGATTAGGGATGCCCTCGTGAGTGCCAGTGAATTGATTATCACCTGGGACAAAGGCGTCCCGCATTCATGGGAAGCACAGTGGGAACAACTCCTGAAAGAGTGTCCAAGATGGAACTTACCGGCGTAAAACCTCCAGTTTTAAATAGGAAAAGAAATAGGACAAGACAAAAGACCAATACCAGGTGTTCGACGTGAGTTGGGGAATTCAATGATTTTCAATGAATTTATCATAGGACCAGAGTCACCTGTTCTCTCCTTGCAGCCTTCACTTCTTTATCCAATATTGGAGGTAAAAAGCTCCATACCGGCTCGTATTTTCGCAAATCCACTTCAGAGACGCAAAGAAAAGCAGAGCTCACGTCGAACTCACTCAAATAAACGGCTTTGTAACTATATCAATTCTACAAGTATGCACTTCGTCCACATACTGCGAATGACCCTTATCTAAGAATTGTATCATCGAATGAAGAATATTCTTCCGTTGCCTGCGAGGTCTCTGTGTTTCAGCTGAATCTGGATCAGTAACTGAAATTGAGTATCTAGATTTCTTCGGGTTTAATGTCGAATTTGAACGCTTTAAACTATAGATGAAGTATTTCTTAATCTCTTATTGTCTTCTGAGATCAGAGTACATTTAGTTTCATGCTCGCTGATGTTTTTGCTATCTATTCAATGTGGGGCGCATTCAGAGTACAGCGCTTAGCGTCGTCGCCGTAGCCCACGTGCCTCTTTGCGTGCCTGCGCCCTGTTGACGAGACCGGTTGTCGATCATTTCACACGGGTCGACGAGATTGATTTCTTGATCGATTTTTATTGATCGTTAATCACTTCTCTCAACGTTTCTGCGTGTAATTTTGATTCTTTCTTAAGCTTTTGTGGTACAATATGGCAAAGGTATGTATATAATTGTGGGGGGAATCTGCTTTTTCTGGAAACTAACAATCTCCAACGAGAACACCATGCGGCGAGTGGACGCTGACGCCAACGTGGATTTGACGCTCCGCGCTCAACGCTCAGCGATCATCGCTCCGAGCACACCGCCCCATCTTGTACTCTTAAAGCGACCTATGCCTAATGTTTCCGTTGTGGAGAACTATTGATCTGATATGATTGCTCAGTGTTAAGGTAATGCGAAATTGCTGAGGTGCTTAAATAAATGTTTTTTCACTAGGGGCGAGAAGCAACTGCAGTTTGTTAAATTTTGAAGCGCATACTATCACAGAACGATCCCGGATCAACTCCCGCGTCGAAACCAAGCTATTTAACCCATTGCCTACCGTGCTGTTTTTGCGGTGGCCAGCGCTTGTGCCCGGCGCCTTTTTCACAATCGACACTGCGTAACCCACAGCGTGCGGCACGCGGCCACACAGACCGGTTTTTTGAGCAAAACGCAAAGTATGTGCTGTTCGAACTTGACTTTGAACTTTAGAGTTTTTGGACCAAAACGTGGGCATGCATAGACAAAGCACGTGTTGCGCAATTCAGATAGGAGCTTTAACTTACACATATCCTTTGGTTTTATTTGAGTCACGTAAGCGCGCCACCTAGATTCTGGAAGGTCGATCATTTCCGAGTGAGATGCGCCTCGGCACTAGACTTCCATTCAGAGTGGAAGTGGTGTTGAAGAATGCTTACGTACCCTATACAATAATTTGTGGGGTCTAGCCAATACACAAGTCAGTATTTTAATCCTACCAGACGAGTCGGGAAACAATAATTGACCCAAGTAAGAGAGGAGGATAGATTGGCCAGGTAAGTGTCGATACGGGGCTCGATCACTGGTAGAAGCGAATTCCTTTACCTGAACGGGATGCCGCTTTCACTGCATCCGATGGCGCGCGAACGCGCGCCATGAAATTGAGTTGGGATTTCAATTTCAGCGGCAGATACCTTAACCGCCGCAAAACCGCTGCCGCTTGTCGTGGGATTCGGGCAGAGATACTGGCACTTGCTACCGGATCATGCATGAGATAGTACGCCACTTGGCATAGCGGGCACCCCAGTAAAAAAGCAGAACCGTGAGGCTGGCTGACCTGGTGAAGAGGTTTCTTGAATCATCGACCTGCTACAGCTTTTGCGACGCCTGGGACGGAATGCCCTATCGACGCCCTTAACAAAATTTTATTGTTTTCATTTTCTTTTCAAAGAAAGAAGATATCACTCCGGCCAGAAACTGTGTTCAAGCATACTCTCCAACTTCGCTCTTGTTTTCAACAGGGAAGAAAGATAAGCAGTGCTTGACAAGCGACTGTACCATATGTCCCTACGGGAAAGCAGGTGATTGCGCATTTATGGGCGTGATCTACCAGCTAGAATGTCTAGCATGCGCATCAACCTATATCGGTGAGACAGGACGACAACTAGCTACACGGGTGAAAGAACATCTAACTAGTATGAAGCGCGGGAACCTTTTGACAGCGCTCGGTCGACATAAAGTTGAGGAGCACAACAGAGAAAATTATGAAGTAAAGTGCACGGTATTAGGGCAGAAGACGGAAATTTCAACAAGAAGGGCACTAGCGACATTCTGGATTCTGCAAGGGAGTCGTAAGATGAACAACAGGGATGAGTGTCCACCCATAACTGGTGACCTCTCGACATACCTACTGCTCTGCGAGCTACATATGACTCGTTCTCAGTGCAACGTAATACGATCTTCCTTATCAGTATAAGAGCAACATCAATAAGTCTATTCGCTATTGACGGTCGCTTATGGCGACAGCGGCTTCTATCCGCAATGACGGTGGAGCCTGGTGAGTTTAAGATAAATTTCTGTCGTTTTTTGACAAGGAGTCAAACGCTATGTTCAAGCATGTTACAGACTAACAATTGCTCTCGTCTTACCCAATTGTTTGTACAAGGGATCACATGGAAATTCCATTTGTTAGCTTGCAAGATTCTCAGAAAAAAGTCACAAGATCAGAAGGAATTTTGTGACCTTTTTTGAAGCAGAGATCGGCCGATTGCGCTGTACATATGAGCGTGGCTTGGGAAACAATCCTACTCTCGGATAGTATCAGTCATTTTTCCGCAGGTCTGTCTGTCTGTCGGTGAGCTATGCTTCCCCAGGTCTCATTGCATTATGATAGGAACGATATGGTGAACCCACCGCTAACCGAGATGCTGAGAGAGAGAAGGGAGAAACGAGGAATAGATGGGTGAGCTGGATCAGTAATGATCGGAAGTGATAGCGGTAGCACCGTGATATCAACTGACACTTTTGATCCCTGGGGAGCTGTTGATTTGTTGCAGTTAATGATCCTACTGAGCAGTTATTGACTGGACCTTTCGGCCAGTCAGTCAAACAAAAGTCTGACGTTCATCGAGCCACTGAGCCTGAGCATAGCATCCCTTTCGTTCACAGCTTTCATGAAGACGTGCGAAGTCTCCCCTTAGGTGGAGGCATCATAATTCTCCAAGAAGACTCTGAAGGAGGGGAACGGTTTACCTAATGCCACTTGACTACAATGGCGCGCGATAGTACAAATGGAGATGTCACTGGCTTCCACCCAAGCGAATCAATGATCTACGGGACGAGAGGTGATTCAGGGGTTCCTGCAAGGAATTTTAAATCGGATGTGATATTACTCACTTCTCTGATGCCTTCTGCAAAAACTGAGACTGAGCGTTGACGCCTTGGTTTTGCCCTTGGCTCGGGCTCCATCATCTCCTAAGATGACGACATTACTGTTGAAAAGTGGACCCTTAGACGGAAACCTACAAAGAATATCCTTGACCAACGTTAGTAGAAGAGCAGACTGGCGACTGGGAAGATGATTGTCTGTGTTTACCGGTTCGAGTGGAGGAACAGAGAAAACTGCACCACCTACGACTGGTTAGTAGAGTACACATGTGATACCAGTTCATTCCAAGAAACGTCTGCTGTGGGCTGGCTTACGGTTAGCAATACCTCTCTGATTGCTGTGACACT